GTCGACGTCCTTCTGATGTGTAGGGCTCCATAGAGCAGATTAGAGGGGGAGAATCCCCTCCCTCGACCTGCTGGCCAGGCTGCTCTGGATACAGCCCAGGATACAGTTGGCTTTCTGGGCTGCCAGCACACATGGCCAGCTCATGTTGAGTTTCTCATCCCTCAGTACCCCCAAGTCCTTCTCCTCGGAGCTGCTCTCCATCCACTCTCCACCCAGCCTGTCCTTGTGCTTGGGATTGCCCCAACCCAGGTGCAGGACCTTGCACTTGGCCTTGTGGAACTCCATGAGGTTGGCATGGTCCCACCTCTCCAGCCTCTCCAGGTCCCTCTTTATTACACCTAAACACATATTAGCTATTTTAGTTTATAAGTGTATTAACAGCCTTTCAGTTAGCTAATGATAAAGTATTTATGAATTAAGAAATTCATTTCCAAGAAATTCTCATGCATTTTCATTGGAATACTTGAATCCATGAAAATCCGTGTGAAATCTGCATAGTACCTAAATAGCTTATTCATCCCCTGTGTGTAACTAAAATGTTTAATAGGCACTCTCCTCGCCTAAAGCTCAGGCCTGAAAAACAAGGACTTGAGTTGATTTTCTGGCTCTGATAGAGAGTTTTTGTATGGTTCTGGGAAATCACTTAGCATTTCCCTCTCTGCAAGCCAGACCCCGTAATGTTTGTGTGCCGTGCAGAGGTAAAGGGGAAGCTGTGACTGCAAAACAAGTTAAGAACCTCCCATCAGAAGTCAGAACAAATGGTTTGGTTTTGATAAAAATAATCTGGAGTCATTGCACATACATCTAATAACTGCTGATTTATAAGAGTCAAGTTATGAAGCTTTAATAAATGCATATGTCTTCATACAGTGCTGCAGTATGTTACTAGCTGGGAACACTACACTGAGTTGCATCATATCTGCATATTTTCCTCCTTTGATACGTAGTATCAAACGAAAATGTTTAGTTTCTCAAATAAAGGTCAGTTCAAAGAAACATCTAAATGCTGAAAAATTCCTCTGACTTGCCTGATTTCACAGAATTGATTTGGAAGTCAAGCCAAAGGATTAGCTTCTTTAACTCCAAGCAATTGCTGAGAAACTCTTCATTTCACACTGTTACTGTCCACCTGGACAGTTCCTCTCCCAAGCCTGGGAAGTTATTTCTTGTCTACTATAGCAAGTGGCAGGTTTTGAATGACATCTCTTGGTTTGTACCAATAGTGGCATTTACATGGGAGACTAAAGCAACTATTGCTTACAAAGGAAGAAAATTTCAAACTCGCATGCTAAAGGCAAATCGATGAGGCATTCAGCTCGGTGGGAATGGTAACAAAGGTCAATCGGATGAGATATAATTACCGAGGAAAGAAAACTGTGGATAAATCTGTAGTTCTTTGAATGGTCTTTGATCCTCTGTTCTTTCCTTCACATGGTCATTAGTAGAAGAACTGGGTCTTTTATAATGTGCCTGGCGGTGATCATAGGTTGAATTTAGACCCTTTTGGGGGCATACATGGGTTCTAATGAATCATCTCGTTTTGTATGTGTATATATTTTTTAATTAAAAACAGTTTCCACATTGCTAATAGTAATAATGGATATTCACTTTCTTAAGGTATAAAACGTCTTAACTTTCCCCACAGAAATTTCCAAGGTACTGAACAGCAGGTGAAACATGCAGACAAGTCCAACTATTAACTCTTCTTTTTCTGCCCCAGAACTGGAGATAATTGCTTTTCTTTCTCTGTTTAGCACTTTCAGACCATGTTAAAGACTAAGTTGAATGTCCTAACTCTTCGGAAAGAGCCTCTCCCGACAGTGATCTTCCATGAACCAGAAGCCATTGAGCTGTGCACCACAACTCCCCTCATGAAGACCCGATCTCACACTGGATGCAAGGTACTCGGGAGTGTGAACTTAAGGAACACTATAGAGGTGTTCCATGTACGTGTAAGGACTCTAACAACGCGGTTGTTGTCGTTGTTCTGGAAACCCCATTAACTGCTACTGTTACTGTAAGGTTGGTAATGAAGAGACATTGGGTGTTTCTGGCAGAAGGTCTGGGCTTCAGTAAAAACACGGTTCAGGTGTGTGGCACAATGCAGATCATGGAGGGTTTCTAACAGCCTGCAGTGAACATCTCTTGTAAACACTGCCATTGTTTCTGTAAATGCTAGTGCTGAGACAGGAGATGAAGGGCCAAATGCTGTGTATTGGCATTTAGCGATCTGTAATAACAGAGGTCTGTACCTGCAGAAATGGGCTTGCAGTTTAAAACTTGAGGTCAGTTTTTAGAGGAAAAGAAAAAAGGGGAAGGAAAGGAGACTGTTAGGTCTTGATTTGGTTAAGCAACAAGATGAATTCTCCCAGTTACATCAAAGCACGACTTCTGAAAAAGCTGCTCTTCTTTAAAGTTTAATGGCTTAGGAGCTTTGAGCGTGTTCCTCTGTGGTAAGAAACCATATAAAATAGCAAACAAATCTGCCCTGTTTGCGTCTTCTGTTGGAGCCGTTTTCCTTGGTCACAGAACTCGCCTAGCCTTGCAGAGTCGTGGGTGGCCTTGCAGGCTGAACTGGGGACCAGTCTGGCCTGTGCGGCCAGCTGGGGCTTGGGAGCCAAGTCCCCTTCACCCAGCCCAGCTGTCAGTTGTAGGGAGTATCCACATGCCCTTGAGGGTCTTGGTGAAAATGGAGAGAACTGGGCTTCAGCCTCCACTGCTCTGTGAAGTAGCAACTCTAGAGAGGCTCCAGTTAAATGTCCTAATCCTCTCCCCTGCCAGTGGTATATGCACAGACGTCTGCACACACTCCTCCTTGTTGGAGGGTGTGATGTGAGTGAGATGGGGTTGATAGAAACTCCTTCCTGGCGTATTCCCCTGCCTCTCTTGGCGTACGGCACAGATGGCACAGCTGCGGGCACGCTGAGGTGCTTGGGCACTTCCAGGTCTGGCACTCCCTCAGCAAAGTTTCTTGTTGCGAAGTGTCATTTTTGTTTGACTTCTTGCCTGTCACAGTAGCCAAGAAGCAAGACTGCTTTGGGTATTGAAGCAGTGCAGCCCTGTGCTGACGCAGAGAAATGCAGGGCAACTGACCCTGATACGCTTTGTGCAGTAGCTCATAGCATCTGCTCTTCAGCGATGGTGTCTTCTGTCTGTAATGCTGACACCTAATGAATTTTTGGAGAATATTAACTTTCATAAAAATGATTCACAAATTATCTGGCTTTCACCCCTAGTGGGGGAGAGTTCAGACATGATAATGCTTTCTGAAATCAGTTTATCTCTCTGAATGTGTGTAGAATTTAAATGACCCTTTTCACTTAACCTATAGTCCTTCATCTGGAAAAGATGGATTGCAGAGAGATGTTGAACCCTTCAGTGAAGAGAATCTCATTCTATATTTAGAGGTCTCTCTTTTATTTATTCATTTATTTTTCCTGCAGTGCAACATAGTAGTGGTGACTAGGGAACATCTGCTGCCACAACGCTCCCCTTTTCTTGCTTGCACTGTTTCTCCTCCCCCCTGGTAGCTTGTTCACCTCCTGCCGGTGCGGGAGTCTTACGGTGGTGTTTTTGGGGTGGTGGCCAGCCCCTCTCCAGATGATTCAGCAGTTGGGATTTCCAGTACCCACGTTTCAAAGATTATTCCACATATAGGTTATTCCCTATGGCTAAGAAATCCTCTCCAGTCATTACATGAAAGGCTCCCATTTTAGCCAGTCTCTTTAGTCACAGCATCTTTCTTTTTCCCCCTCTTTTTTTTTTTTCCTGACTAAATGTATTCTCTTACGGGGCTTGTGTCCTCCAGCTGTTTGTAGGTAATTAGCCTTCCTTTCCTCTTTCCCATCTGATTATTAGTTTCTTGCTGAGTGATATGGTAATAGTGTGGCCATAACAAAGCCAGTATTTTACAGTATGATTTTTTTGCTTTGTGGGGTCTGTTATTCCAGGTGGAAGAGGGGAGGTACTGTGATGCTGCTGGTAACACCAAGCCTCTCTGGTTCTGAGGCATGGGCTTTTCACGCAAGAGCACAGCATCCAGTTTTTACTTTCCTTCATGAGTCACACTCTTTTGATCCTTAATCGTTTTATTCCTCTTGACTGAAATCCCTCCAGTTTTTCTGTGTAATCCCATTAATGAGATAGCATCATTCTTCTGACAGAGGCTCCAGACATCTAATTTTATTGCACAGTTTTAATATAAGCCTCAGCTGGCACCCTCTTGTTATGGGAACTTGACACATGCAGTTGTTTTGCTGTTGAGGGTTCTGGGCATTGGTTTTCTTGTGTGATTGCTCTTTTCCTTGTCTTTTCATCGCAAGACAGGCTTCTCTTTTTCATTTGGCGTTAGCCTGCTGAATCCTGAAGAAACAAAACTTTTCTGCCGAGATCCAATCTCATTCTGTAATTGATTGGGATGGTTTTAAGAATGGCAGAGAAAGGTCTTGCTTGAAGTAATCTAGGGACACACCCCCTCTCCCCCCAGAATATGGAAAGGTAAATAGTTGAAAAAAGGGAGAGCTGCTCTTTCCTGGCCAGTTCCAGATCTGATGCAACTTTGTTGCCATTGTGTTTCCTAAAATATATTTTATACTTCGAGCAGAAGGCTTAAGACTCATTCCGCCTGGTGCCGCACGCCTACGCCTGCCTGCTTGGGCTGGCTGTGCTGTCGCCGTTCCCACCCTTCCAGACTCGTGGGCATGATTTTACCGAACAGGAGAAGTAGATAGTGCTTGCATGGATTTGCAGCACAGAGCTGCAGGCACACATGTTTGGGAGTTTGTGGTGGTTGTTGCTCAGGGAGACGGGTTGATTTGGAGGCTGGAGTTCCCAAAGGACACCTGCTTGCCCCCCTTCCCCTCCCTTCCCCAGCAGTCCTGTTTGCAGATGGGAGGTGACAGCCCTGCACCCTGGGGTTGACTGTCGCTGCCCCACTCGGCAGGCAGCATAAAACACAGCAGCGTTTCTGGGTACAGTAACGCACGCACTCTGGGTTTTTCCTGGGGGGTCCTTTGCTTTTCTTTGAGCCATGGTGTACGTTAAGTGAGAGGCAGGTCTCTGGCTGCAGAGGAACCACAGCTTCTTGTCCTCCTCCAGCTGAGACTGCCAGGGCAGGGCAGTGGGATGCAGTGCCCAGAGGGATTGTCATCTCTCCGGCACCCACGGTTGAGCACCCACATGCACCCTGCCCCTTCCCTGTGACGTACGTGTTTGAATGCTGAAGCACCAAGTGCTAAGGTCAGTAGCTGCTCCGAAGAATGAAAAAAAACAGCTGGCTTATTGTATATGTGTAAATGGTAAGTCTCAGCTTAAGCTAAACCATCCATTGCTGGGGAAGGACAAAAATGAGTGAGAATATCTTTTGTTCTTCCTAGCTGGACCACACTTTCAATCACAGGTTCATCATTTGCTTTTATTTTGAGTGTGTTTCCGTATACAGGCATGAGCGTGATTTAGATGCGTGTCTATAAAAACGTGTCTGTCCTTGTTCAGATCCTAAGGGTTTTGACTAGACTGTGGCTGTCCTGCTTGTAATTCTTTCATTTCAAATGTTGCGCACTCTTGTGTTTCAGCTGGAAACCTCCTGCTCGCTTATCACAGCACTAAATACCACCAGATGGAAACTGAAAACCTGGAATAACTCCAGAAAATAAGTTGCTCTCTACTCAGAAATGCGTGCTCTCTCTGTGCCTTTTTACAGATTTCGTTTAAGTTCTGTGTGTTATATTCTTCCTTAATATCCTAATCGGCTTACACCGATTCTAATGTTTCTTGATTTCTGTCCCTTTGAGCTGTGGTGGTGGCGTGAAAGGAACTGCCTAAATGACACTCTCTCTTCTGCTGTAGCTTTTCCAGGCACTGCTGCAGTAATACAAAGGGACAGAGGTTAAAGATGCTGCCTGTGGTTTTTGAAGTGGTGTCGTAGGTTTAACTTTTTTCTTTCTATTGGAAGGCTCTTCAAAATGAAGTCAGTGCTGAATAATCAGTAGCTCGTTGTTATCCCTCTGGGTCAAGCAGTCACTAGTTCCCACCAGTGGACAAGCTTTTCTCAGCAGCCTGGGAGGCTGAGATGAGAGGAACATAAACAGTGCAAATAATTGCATCATTAAGAGTATGCTTTTATTAAATGGGAAAACATATATTAATGATATGGCGTCTGTAGGCATGATGCACCATTTTGTCTCTCTCTCTCCCATTTTTCTTCTTTTCTCAAAAGCATCTTTCACCATTACAGACAATGCATGCCATCAACTGTGGGCCCTATGAATAAATCTTGTGTTGCATAGAGACATGGCTTAGGGTAGACTTGGCAGTGCTAGGTTGGACTCAATGATCTTAAAGGTCTTTTCCAACCAGAACAATTCTACGATTTTATGATCTCTGTGCACATGAAACTATCTCAAAATGCTTTGAGCAACAGGATTTAAACCAGTGTACTATAGATTGGAAGTTAGTCTGCAAGGGAAAAGCTCATAGTAAGTTTATAGGATGAATAGCAAATAATATTGATCGTGATCCGATTATGATCCACAGAGAAAAAAAGATGTTTCTCATTGGGATAGTTATTCAATAAGATATTGTCTTAGAATTGCCATGCTAGGCCTGATTCTAATTCATTGTGTAAGAGAGACATTTAGGAATGATGCCTGCTCAGATAATACTGCCTATTTTTGGGTTTCTGCCTTGTTATTTTTGATTGCAAAGGCCTTGCAGCAGGACTGCCTCTTACCACAGGCTTGCAAATTACCCTGCCTCTACTCTACCCTAGTAGGTTTTTTTTCTCTCTAGATCAGACTTTCCCAAACTGTTTTGCCGAGCATTTCTGCCTCTGCAACCTCTGCTGCTTGTGCCCCACCCTGATCAGTTCAGCCGTGGCGGGGGCCAAATACATGATTGCTTT